ATTTTTTAATCCTTTCTAGCACATTTGAAATTTGTTTCAAAATATTGTTTTTCCTGCATCAGCAGATGGGCTAGAGATTACTATAGGGATTTTTAGTGTCTTTTTTGAAATTAAAACACATTATGTTGGAAATTCTTGCAAAAATCAAATAATTGTCAAATTTTAATGAAATTTTCAGAACTTATTCCCAAATTTGTTTTTCCGAAAATCTTGGTAAAAATATATTTTTTTACATGTTACCTGCCACTTACTTAATTTTATGAAATTTTGAGAAATTAAAATTTCAGCTTCTTATGTATATAGTTAAAATCAGTAGATTGGAGAATTTAAATCATCAATTTGTTTTTCATCAAACAGAAAACACCATTTACCAAAAATCTGCTCTGAATCATAAAATAAAAAAAATGCAATAAAACTGTGATATTATTTCATTAGAAAAGCTTTTAATTGCTTTTATAAATAAAATAATAGCACAATATTGTTTTAAGTTAAAATTTTTTTCAATCAATAATGAATTTTTACAAGAATTGTTTAATTTCTTTTAATTTTAATTAGAAAAATTTATTAAGTTTTAAATCTTTCAAAATTCTGTATTAATTTCAGCCTTGTAGATGATATTATTAAGTGAAAACTATATTTACTAATTATAAATGGAAAAGCCTCAAATACTAATATTTTTAAAAGAATTCTGACGTATGTCTATAAATGTGCCAATTTGTGTAAGTATGGACAACTATACACAACATTATCAAAAAATAAGAACGATAACTATAGTAAATTTAAAGTTAACATTTCTAAAATGTTAGATTATGGAGAATATTTTACCAAATTCTGAAGATTAGTGAGTACTTAAAATTTATATAAAAATGGCACTCATGATTTTTTCAATTATTTTTGACAGATAAAGTCTTTGTAGAACAACATTAGATTTCTCATCAGGCTCTCAACACATCCACACAACTACTGTCAGGTTAAAAAGTGCATTTCTGAAATATTTTAAACTTAAAGTATATAATATTTGTTTCAAATCAAATTAATTATACTTTAAATCAGTTACTATTCTTTAAATAAAATTTCCGAAAAGTATATTTCATTTTTGGAAGATATTTCAATACAGATGACTAAAAATGAGCACTAATCATTTATTTTAGCAAAAAAAAAAAATACTTCTGGGCTATCTGACCCAGAAATTTAACTCACAATTGATAGTGAATCAGATATGTTTTAAGCCATAGTTTCCAAGTAAAAGTGATGTGGGAAGAAAGTTGGAGAGTACAAGTATTGAATTGTTGGGAGTACAATGACCAAGATGAAGATTCTGACATGTTTTGTAAGATAGACATGGTCATTTTTATGCATTTTTTTCATACATTTCTTTTTTAAACATGTTTCTGCTCATTTCTGAACTAAGATCATTATTATCAAAAATTGCTAGTAAATCATTAATAGGATTTTGGTGGTTCTACACATGAGTGTACCAAGACCCACCATCAATAAAATATACTTTCCGAAACTTTATTTGAAGAATATTGGCTGATTTAAAGTATAATTAATCTGATTTGAAACAAATATTATTTACTTTATGTTTAAAATATTGCAGAAATGCACTTTTTAACCAGACTGTAGCTGTTTTGATGTGTTGACAGCTTGATGGCAGATCTAACGTTGTTCTACAGAGACTTTATCTGTAAAACATAACTGAAAAAAATCATGTGAGTGCCTTTTTTATATATTTTTTAAGTACTCAGTAATCTTAAAAATTTAGCAAAATATTCTCCATAATCTAATGTTTTATTGAATTTTAGTAATGTTGACTTTAAATTTACTATTGTTATTGCTCTTATTTTTTGATAATGTTGTGTATGATCATCTGAACCTACAAAAATCAGCACATTTATGCACATACAAAAAAATTCAATATTCTTTTAAAAATATTGGTATCTTCAGTTTATTCTTTTCTCTTTAAAAAAGTTAAAAATGCAACTGAAGTGCAAAAAAGATGTTGTAAATAATTGAATATATTTATATTAAAGAAATTTACAAAGATTTTGACTGAAGATTTCTTATTAAACAATGTTTCATGTTTAGGTAGACCAGTTCAAATTGAAAGTGTGTAACTGAAGACATTGTTTGAAAATAATCAATGTTATCTTACACATAAAAGAATGCTAACCTATCTATGATAATATGCAAATTAGATTTAATATAAGTGGGAAGGTTTCTACTCTCTGGAGGGAGTTATCTTTTCTTGACTACACTGCATACTTGTGAGAACTTTACATGACACAACAACATGGTACCGATGATAGGATATCTAACCTCATTAGAGGATCCTGAGCGTGTTGAGTTTTAGATGAGATGTTTTGCAGTATTGGCGAGAGTCAAGAAATTGAGAGACAGGAAGTATAGAAGCAGTGTAAATGAAGTAACAGATTTATTTCTAGCACCAGTGGGTTGTGAAGCCATAAAAAAGATCTCCGTAATGATCTAGCTGAAGATGTGAGAAAACTTGACATTTGAAGAAATTGCCAATATTGTACATGCAAATGTACATTCAAAAAGTAACTGGTCATAGCTGAGAGGACAAAGTTTCTTGAAATCAGGCAAAACCAGGATGAAACCATTAGACAGTACATTCACAGGATAAAAGAAGCATTGAGGTACTGTGAATTCGAAAAGTTGGGTACAGGACTGATGTTTATAAAAGAAGAATTAATATAGTTAAGACTAACTGAAGGACTGTATGACATCTTGAGTAAATGCAAAATTTTGGAACAGCTTTAAATCCACAATATGAATATTGAAATGAGTTTTGGATTTTTACTGCAGCTAGAGTTAATTCAGAGATTTAGTACCCCTAAAACGAACAAGGAGACATACAGTATTACGGAGAGTTGATTTAAAAGTTATTTTTGCAACAAAGAACATGAGATGAACAGGTTTAAATGCTCTGCTTTTGGAAAGGTGTGTTTTAAGAAGAAAAACCATTTCCAGTGAGTATGCAAATATAAAAGAAACGGTAGAAGTGTAGAAGATAGATCCTCTGACGGGAAATACTGAGATTTATGAAGTAAAAGTGTAAGATAAGAGTATGGAAAAGGTAAAAATAAATAGAATAACTGAACTAAAGCAAGTGGATACAGGTAGTGATATAATGTTAATAGCCAAGAATTTGGGGGATAAAATAAGAAGACCAAAATTAAGGAGGACCAATCTACAATTGAAACAGTTTGACAGGTCAGTCATTAAAACACTTAGATGCTTTGTGGGAAACTAAGACTCAAGGTAATAGTTATGGAGTGCATAAAAGATCATGGTCTTTTGGGGATTGATGTATTAAAAATAGAAACCTCAAAGTTAGTTAATTGCATGAAATTAGAAGAATCTGAGATTGAACTTTTAAAGGATTACAAAGCAGGTGTTCAGCTCAAAGAGAATAGCCAACCAGTATATTTTCAGTCTCATAAAGTTCTGATTCATCTTTTGCCCGAATCTTAATAAAATGATTGAACAAGGGATATTGGAGAAGGTCCTCTAGGGAGGTAGCAATTAGGCTTCTCCAATTGTTGCCTTACGTTCAACCAATAAAGATTTAAGAATTTGTTGTGACTAGACATGGTGGAGTAATGGATAGTGACTCAGATTGAGGAATACGAGAGCCAAGTTCAAATTCCATTTGAATCCTTTACATTCACTCACGTGCTAATACGCTTGGCAAAGGTATGAATTCTTTTCTTCTCCCCCCGCTATGCATAAATAGCAGGGCAGACCAAGTTCTACAGCTTTGAATGGCAACTGGTCTACTGCAGAAAGAAATGGAAACTTACTGTGGGAAAAATCTGCCTCGTCAGTCATGTATTGAAAGATACATGATCACCTAAGGGTGTATCACACATGGCACATAACAGACTGACAAAGTTGGTGTAAATTACCAGATCTTTTAAGATGCCTTCTCCTTGACAAATACTGGCATGAAATTTTTTGCCAAGATAGTTCTAGAATCTGTGTATAATTAGATAAAATTTGATGACCATTTTCCAGAAGTCACCATGATGAACACTCCTAGAGGTTTTCTAAGGTGGACTCATCCGTTGTTTGGAATTAAAACATCCAGCCACATATTCCCAAAGGCTTTTGAGAATGTTTTGGAAGGAGTAAAAAAAATTGTCTATCAGGACAGCAAAGGTAGTGGTGCTTGTACTGGGGAGGAACTAAAGAATAAAACAGAACAAATTGAGTAATGCAGGCATGATAATTAATCACAATAAGTTTAAATTAAATTGCTTGAAAATTTCCTACTTAAGATATCTAATATCTAAAGATGGGATCTTGCCAAATGACAGACATATTAACAAAATATCAGAAATAAGTACACCTAAAAATAAGAAACAGTTAGTGTCTTTCTTGTGTCTGACTAAATTTTATAATAAATATATACCTCAATATAGAGACATGATTGAACCTTTAGCAAACATGAGAAAGAAGAATAATGAATTTCAGTGGACTGAAAAACAGGAGGTGGCCTTCAAAAAGTTAAAGGAAGCAGTTAGAAACACGCCAGTAGTTAAGGTATTTGACCCAATGAAAGAACTCTAACTATGCTAGCGAACATACCATAGCAGTGATCTTATCACAACAGGAACACCCTATTATATATTTGTCTAGAAAGTTAACAGCAGCAGAGACAAATTATTATAACATTAGAAAAGAAGTGCTGGCAATTGTCTGGAGTTCACCTTCGACCTGAGGAAAGAATTGCTTAAAGTCATGTTGTCCAGAATTTTGAGTTGGGTGATTAAGATTATGGCATTCGATTTCAGCATTAGGGAGTGCCATTCCACATGTAGATGCATTGTCAAGATTGAATTTTAATACCCAGAATGTTGAAACAAAGGAATAATGATTTGAATCCTGAGAAAGTACAATTTGTAGTGCGAAATGACTTAATACAGTAATATTAACAAAAACTGGACAGGGCGTGTTAGCTCATGAAGACCAGTTTAAATTGCGAAGATAGCTGGAAGATATTGAAATGGAAGCAGAGCCTGGCACTGAAGAGTGGGATCAGGATTATCACCAAGAATAGGAGAGTGAAGGGGAGGGGATAATGAGTGTGTCTTGTAATAATAAGGAACATGAGGAAGATTGAAATGAAGAAAATCTGGTAAGACCGAGATCCCCCATAAAGAGGAATCCAGGCATTCACCATGAGACAAGCAGTACATCTCCTGGAATGGTTTGTAGAAGTAGCAGATTTACCAAGGGCATAAAACTGCTAATGTTCCTGGAGATGTGGTGATATGCAAATTAGATTGTATATAAATGCGAAGGTGTCTACACTCGAGAGGGAGTTATCTTTCCTTGACATGTGAGAACTTTACAAACCATAACACTATCCAAAAAAGGCTTAAATAACTGATTCTTAACCTTTGTCCTTGTCTGCATCTTTTTCAAACCCCCAACCAATTCTAGCACCCGTTTCTAGAATTGATAAAAAACAATACTGATCTCATATGTAAATAACAAAATAATTGACTATAACTTCAGTTTACATCAACTGTCTTTCATAGTTTATAAACTTACCCAGCAACAATTAACGCATATTTTCATATAATTCAAATTATTTTCTGAATATATTAACAAGGTGTGAAATATATCTATATATACAAATTTGCACCATTCCCCATGCATATATAATTATATGTAAGTACAGACATAATTCAACAATATTTAAACATCACATTTGAGCAAACATATCTTAAAAATATTTGAGCAAACATATCTTAAAAATATTTGAGCATTAGTTCCACTCTTTATCAAAACAGACTTCACACTGCAATGTCTCTAACTTTACCACAGTTTTACCAGCAATTTCTGCACATTTTTTCCTAAGTATACATTTAAGCTATTATAATGGTTACCATTGGTAAAATTTCTACAATGTAAACTTTTATGTCAGATCATCAAACACTACACTAGATTTTCTTTAATAAACCAACCCCAATGATTTGGTATCCTCACACCCAATACTGCACTCTTAGTAGGTGTGAGCACCTCTGGTTAAGAACCACTGGCTTAGCTGAATCACATGTCTAAAATCATCTGCATCAGCTTGTTATATATGGTTTGGTTATAGTTACTTTGATATATAATATATAGATGACATAATTAAAAAAAAATGACCCCTAGCCTAATAGCTAAACATAATGAAAATGTTCTTTTTTTTAAAAAAAATTAATGATAAAAAAAAATGGATACATTACAGCATGTCATGCAAGGGTAAACGAAACAAAAAAACTGGTCTTCTTTCCAAATATTTTATGTTTATATGCTGGGAATGGAAGAGAATTCTTTACAAAGACTTCTTTTCAGAGAATCAACTTATTCTTTCAAACTTGACTCACCCCAGATGATAACATTGCACTCAATGTTACATCAGACCCTCAAAATTTTCAGGTGCATCAGGCGGTCGACCTGAGAGATGACCACCTAGCTAGGGGTAGAGATCTACACACCACATGTTACTGGTTACCTACTTCATGTAATCATGTGGTTGACTCTTCTGCACCTTGGATGTGCACATATTGGAAAAACTGTATGACAGGTAGACATATAAACACCAACTGAAGAAAGAGAGTCTTATATCATAAATGTCCTGCTCCCAATTATACAAAATAAAATTGACAAATAACAAAATGTGTCTTGATCTAGTTAATAAAAAAAATGCATATGTTCTATAATATTGCTAAAGAACTTGTTTAATGAAAAGAATTTCAATTCCCTGAAAGACTGCAAAAAGTAACTGGAGCAGTTCTTTGTTGATAAAGATGAAACCATTCTAAGGAAGAACTGCAAATTTGGAAGAAAATAAGAAATATGCAGATGGCAGGAGATAGAACAAAATTAAAAAAAAAACTGTTGAAAATAAGAAATATATATTTTATTTTGACATAATAAATAAAAACTTTTATGTTATGACAGAGTATTGAAAAGATCTCAGCCTAACCTATTTTCCAAAACCTGAGCAGTATTTTGACTGATTCTATTAGTTAACCAAATATGGGTATCCACTAAAAATAACTAATAATTTTAGGTAATAAAATCTGTTGGATTAATAAATAAAAATCCTTCATTTCTTTAGAAACTGTTTTGTTTACATTAAGATATGAATCTGAGCAGATATGTATATTTTGAGAGTCTGGGAAAGTCTTCCTTTATTAGGCAACTTTGCTTTATCAACAACATGCATACATATTTATATAAAGAATAACATAGCTCACAAAAGAAGAGAAATAGAAAATTATATTTACATATATACAGTTAACTTAAAAAAAACATTTGTACTTAGTGTATTGTCTATGATCATGTGCAGGATGTGCCACGTGGTTGTGTGAAATTAAGCAATTGGCCCAGAGAAAGAAATCTCCTTTTGCAAAGACAAGTCTTGTTGCTTTTGCTACTACATTCTAGAGCCAAAAGAGAGTGAGAGGATTCATGTCATTTTTTCATACTGTCCTGAATACAATGTTAGCTAATTGGTACTTTGGCAGAAAAGGTGGAGTAATCCTCACAAAATCTCTGAAGAGAACATCAAAGAAAATACACGAATATATGATGCAGGCATTAGTTGACAAGTGTTCATCATGATTAACTATGAAGAAGTGATACCCAATTTCCAACATGAATATTTCAAGATCCAAAATGCTGTATCGTTTAGGAGACTTTCAATGGTATCAACACCTAAAACCATTAATCCTATCCATGATCTTATTTTGTCTAATTGATGATTCTTAGTGAAAAGAATTTCCCAGGCACAAGAAATATCTAAGGAATACATTTGGTTTATAATTTATGAGTAGTTCAGTATTCAGAATGCCAACCTGAAACAAAATCAAGTGGACACTTCCAATATGATTTTGTATAATTACAGTAATGCTTTTGGGAAGGACTTGTCACTACTGATGAAAAATTGTTCCCCTAATAGGATTTGGGCATGAAACAAAAGTTGATGAAGTGTTGTTATTTGGGTTTTCTACCATGGCTTTAGTAATTCATGGCTTAAATGTCATCTGGAAAGGTCATGGGAATGGATTATAATGAAAGTATTTTGATTGTTAAACTCCTTCTGGAATTGACTCAGATATATGATTCTTGCCAAACCTGCAAACTTTATGGAAAGACACTGAACAAACCAATAGTAAGCATCCTTATGGCCAGCAGATTCAATGAGAAAGTAGCATTGGTTTGAAGATTTGGAGAGGAAAATACATCCTTCATATATATGGTGGATGTTTTCACTAGAATTAGTGCATCAGTATTTATTAGAAGAAAAACTCCAAAGGAAATTATAGAAGATATCCCGTGCCCCTAAAATGGTTCAAGTTCGGGAATCATGGAAGGAATTCTTTGGGACAATGGAGGAGAATTTATTAATGATGAAATTCATGAGGTGGCAAGTATGCTTAGCATAAAGATCTCAACTCATGGAGCAATAGGTTGTGTGAAAGGCATCATCAGATTACTGACAGAATGCTAGAAATTCTAGTAGAAGAAAATCCTCATGCTTGGGCAAATGTAGCAAAGAATTCTTTGCAAGATGTGGAATGGTTTCAGAAGCTATCAACTTGTTCTTGGTAAGAATCCAAATTAGTAGAAACATAATGAAGATGAATACCTTAAAGCAAAAGAAAAAGAGATTTAAAGATTAACAGACTGACATTTATGCTGATGATGATGATGATGTGGGGCAGACATGCAATTCCACTAAGTGGATGATAAATGTTTGTGTATTGATGTTGGCTCAATCAAGGAAATGTTGAACAAGAAGGAAATAGTCAAGATTCAATGGATTCCTAGAAATAAAATGATTGCCAAGGGGAATTAACTCAACATTGGTGACTGAATATTTGAAAATAGTCAATGACAAATATAACTCTAACTTGCTAGTAAGATTAAAGGAGGCATTGAACGAAAACTGACCATGAGGAAACTGTGGAAAAGCGCTATCTTGTAGACAGGACAATACTTTTGTTTAACCCTGCGTTAGTCAGATGGGATGTTTTTTATTCCAAATTTTTAAAGTATTTATAATTCCTAGTTGGCAATTGGTTTCCTTTTGCTCCTTCCCTCTACTCTTCTGACTCAGTGTGGGTGGGTAGAATGTGTTGGGGTGCGGTTGTAACTCAGTTGTCATGGGAGGCAGATGCTAGGGGGCTATCCATTTTCAGAAATTCGGGGTGACTAACAGAAGGTTAAATGGCTGTTTTGAAGAATTTTGAGTTTACTCATTAGAACTCTTTTTCACTACTTGCTGTTTCTAAAGTTTAAAATGGAAATAAATGTTCTAATGGTTTGGAGCAGCAGAGCATTATTGCAAAATTCAAATATCAGAATTTTTCTTGAAGAAACTGGAAAAATAAGGGTCTAAGGATTTTGAACTTTGATTCAAATATGCAGAATAGCCTTAGATCATTCCCCCATTGGGCAGGACAAGAACATTTCAACATTTCTTCATATTCTGTAATATTATTCATGTGTTGTGATTTTAACAACACCAAATATAACTGAAATATTTTTAAAAATATGTAAGTTAAAAATAATTGGAGCCCTTCACAGGATTAGCTGTTAACATAAATTCATATTCAAAATGTTAACACCTTGCTTCACATAAATATATGAATCTGTCTTTCATAACTATAAGTCTACCCTTCATCCATGCTTAGAATATTGCTGCCATATATTGTTTAGTACCTTGAATTCCTTGATAAAATCCAAAGAAGAATCAGCAATATTATTGGTCCTGATTAGGCACCTCAGCTTCAATCCAATCCCACCACTCTAAGGTTGACTCTCTGTGCTTTTTCTATAAACATCTTCATGTTAAGTGATTTGATCAGCTCTTCGCTATGGTACCTAAACTTTTTTAATTTAAGCACAGTACTAGACTGGCATCAAAAACTTATCCTTTTATAGCTGAGCTGGCTAGATGTAACCATAAATTCTATGCTAATGGTTTTTTTTTTTTTTGCATTTCTTGCTTTGGGAACTCCCTTCCAGCACCATGCTTTTGAGACAACCTTAATTTGCAAAAATTTAAATGCAGTATCAATCGCTATCTACTGTCCCTCTGATTCTCTTCCCATTTATTAACGCTTCTGTTCC